GGGGATTGAACCTGGGACCTTCTGCATGCCAAGCAGAGGCTCTACCACTGAGCCACAGCCCCTCTTTACAGCTCTCCAGGGTCTCAGCCAGAGGTCTTTCCTGCCTGGTCCTTTTTAACTGGAGATGCCGTGGATTGAACCTGGAACCTTCTGCATGCCAAGAAGAGGCTCTGCCACTGAGCCACAGCCCCTCTTGACAGCTCCCCAGGGTCTCAGGCTGAGGTCTTTCACATCACCTCCTGCCTGGCCCCTTTTAACTGGAGATGCCGGGGATTGAACCTGGGACCTTCTGCATGCCAAGCAGATGCTCTTGCACTGAGCCACGGCTCCTCTGTACAGCTCTCCAGGGCCTCATGCAGAGTTCTTTCCCATCACCTCCTGCCTGGTCCTTTTAACTGGAGATGCCGGGGATTGAACCTGGGACCTTCTGCATGCCAAGCAGAGGCTCTACCACTGAGCCACAGCCCCTCTTTACAGCTCTCCAGGGTCTCAGCCAGAGGTCTTTCCTGCCTGGTCCTTTTTAACTGGAGATGCCGTGGATTGAACCTGGAACCTTCTGCATGCCAAGAAGAGGCTCTGCCACTGAGCCACGGCCCCTCTTGACAGCTCCCCAGGGTCTCAGGCTGAGGTCTTTCACATCACCTCCTGCCTGGCCCCTTTTAACTGGAGATGCCGGGGATTGAACCTGGGACCTTCTGCATGCCAAGCAGATGCTCTTGCACTGAGCCACGGCTCCTCTGTACAGCTCTCCAGGGCCTCATGCAGAGTTCTTTCCCATCACCTCCTGCCTGGTCCTTTTAACTGGAGATGCCGGGGATTGAACCTGGGACCTTCTGCAGGCCAAGCAGAGGCTCTCCCACTGAGCCACGGCCCCTCTTGACAGCTCTCCAGGGTCTCAGGCTGAGGTCTTTCACATCACCTACTGCCTGGTCCTTTCAACTGCAGATGCCAGAGATTCAACCTGGGATGTTCTGTAGGCCAAGCAGATGCTCTGAGCCAAGGCCCTTCCACAGATATCGGATGTTGGCATCCAAAACATCTGCACAGCAAGAATTTTCAGTCCTAGCCCTTCACACTGGTCTGACATTATCACCAGCCAAGCTGTGGGCCTCTCTCGCCCCGGCACCTCTTACCTCGTAGTGATTGCGGAAGTGACTGATGCGGACGTGCTCGTCCATGTAGGTGTGGTCAAAGTTCTCCTGGAGCCAGCGGATGTCACACCAGTAGAAGTCCCAGTCACCTTCCCTGTGAATAAAGGGCAGACAACACCCAGGAAGATGTGATCACAGGACATTCGCTCTCTTTCATCTGTGGATTTGGTAACTAATTTTCAGACTTGTAAATATTGAGGGCCTCTGATCTCGACAGTATAAAATCTGCTTTAAAAAAATAATAATCAGTTTTCCACACGTATCCACAGGAGGTGGTGGTGGCTACAAGCATGGACAGCTTCAAGAGGGGATTAGATAAACATATGGAGCAGAGATCCATCAGCGGCTGTTAGCCACAAGGTATAGATAGGAACTCTCAGGCCTGGGGCAAGTGATGTTCTGTATTCTTGGTGCTGGGGTGGTAGTGGATAGTGGGAGGGCTTCTAGTGTCCTGGCCTCACTGCTGGACCTCCTGATGGCACCTGGTGTTTTTGGCCACTGTGTGACACAGAGTGTTGGACTGGAGGGGCCATTGGCCTGATCCAGCATTGGCTTCTCTTATGTTCTTATGTCTGGGGCAAGGGATGCTCTGTATTCTTGGTGCTTGGGGGGGGGGGCTAACAGTGTGTGGGGGCTTCTAGTCTCCTGGCCCCACTGCTGGACCTCCTGATGGCCCCTGGTATTTTTGGCCACTGTGTGACACAGAGTGTTGGACTGGATTGGCCACTGGCCTGAACCAACATTGGCTTCTCTTATGTTCTCATGTTCACAGTTATCTTATGACAGTGCATATATCGGAAACTATCCAACTTTCTTTCAATGAAATAATTTCAGCTCGCCTTAAAGATGCAGATGGACTATTTCAGCAAGGTTTTGATCAAAGACTTAACATGAGGCTCCCATCAAGTAATTATCAGAGGAAACAATGTTTTAGGTGCTGGCATATCCAGATCTTTTAAACCAGGAACCCCCAACCATACCTGAAGACCTGAGAACTTTCCAACTTTTCTCTGTTGGTGATTAGCAAGAAGCCTCATCCGGTGACAGTCAGCCGCAGCAGTTGTCACAATAAACCACAGTTTATAAATCACAGTTTGATTAAACTGACTTAGGGTGTTGTTTGATTAAACTGACTTAGGGTGTTGTTTGAATGCAACCTATCTAGCAAACTGTGGTTTGTAAACGGGTGATAAGACAGAATGCTAAAACGTGGCTTGTACCTGGCTTCTTAACTGGGGTTTCTCATGTGGAATGAATGCCGAAATCCCGTTTTGTTCAACAGGACTGCTACTTTCGACCTCCTAAAAACTAAGAAGGAACAGCACAGCAACACAAAACCATTCCACTACAGGTACCTTCTGGTACAATGGAACTCTCCCGGGCAGGGGTCATTTCCTGCAGGAGCGCACAGGAGTGGAGCTCTGGCAGTAAAGAGCCCAGGGGGTGGGCACATGCAACAAGCCCCGCCCCCTGCTCCCAGCAGCCCTCAGTCAGAGCAAGAAGCAGCCAGGTAAGCTGCAGAGCCCCCCCCCCGGCCCAAAACAGTCCAGTGGCACCTTTAAGACCAAGTTGTATTCAGGTACAAGCTCTCCCTCCTCTGTGAGGGCAGATTTGCACGTTCCCACCCCTCCCCCCAATAGCTAGCAGTCCAAAGCAGTCCAGTGGAGCCTGAGTGGTGGGTGTTGCCTTCTGACACACTTCCGGTGATGTCAGGGGGTGTGGCATAGGCAAATAAGTTATGCTAATGAGCTCCTGCACCTCTTTTTCTACGAAATGACCCCTGCTCCCAGGACATTCTCTCCCTTTGCCTTCTTTTCATGCACACACTTCTCCACTAGTGCTAACTGGGGAGGGGGCGTGACTCAGTGGTAGAGCACCTGTCGCCAGCATCTCTCCAACTGAAGAGTAGTGGGTTGAGACCTTGGAGAGCTGCCAGTCAGAGCAAACAGTGCTGACCTTGACAGACCTCGGGCCCAGCTCAGTAGAAGGCAGCGTAGGGGGCCACGGTGGGAGGGCTAGAGCACCCGTCGCCAGCATCTCTCCAACTGAAGAGTAGTGGGTTGAGACCTTGGAGAGCTGCCAGTCAGAGCAAGCAGTGCTGACCTTGACAGACCTCGGGCCCAGCTCAGTAGAAGGCAGCGTAGGGGGCCACGGTGGGAGGGCTTCTGGAGTTTTGGCCCCACTGCTGGTCCTCCTGATGGCACCTGGGTTTTGGGCACTGTGGAACACAGAGTGTTGGACTGGATGCGCCATTGGCCTGATCCAACATGGCTTCTCTTATGTTCTTATGTCTGGGGCAGGGATGCTCTGTCTTCTTGGTGCTTGGGGGGGGGCAAGAGTGGGAGGGCTTCTGGAGTTCTGGCCCCACTGCTGGACCTCCTGATGGCACCTGGGTTTTGGCCACTGTGGAACACAGGGTGTTGGAATGGATGGGCCATTGGCCTGATCCAACATGGCTTCTCTTATGTTCTTATGTCTGGGGCAGGGATGCTCTGTCTTCTTGGTGCTTGGGGGGGGCAAGAGTGGGAGGGCCTCTGGAGTTCTGGCCCCACTGTTGGTCCTCCTGATGGCACCTGGGTTTTGGCCACTGTGGAACACAGGGTGTTGGAATGGATGGGCCACTGGCCTGATCCAACGTTGGCTTCTCTTATGTTCTTATGT